CTCCCAAAGGCGCGGGATTACAGGCTGAGCCACCAAGCCCGGCGGGGTGCAATTTTTTTAAGGAAATAAGAGTCTAGAACCTGATGATAGCAAAGGAAAATGAGAAGAAATAGTAAAGGGAATAAAAGATGAGTGGAAATCCACAATAAAGTGTTTTAAAAAGGAGTGACCAGTTGTGTAGGATGCTTGCAAAGTGATCAAGGAGATGAGATGAGGATGATAACCCTGATACTTGTCCACATGGAAGTTGGTGGTTTTGAGAGGAAGAATTTGAGAGGAGTAGTGGGGACAATACCTCATTGGTGGCATTTGAGAGACGTCAAGGAAGGTAAGAAAGTGGAGACCACAAGGATAGACTTCCCTTTAGAAAAGTTTTAATGAGAAAAGAACCAGAGAAATTTGGCAGTTACTAAAGGGAAACATGAAAGAAATCAAGGAAACTTTTCTTTTTTTCATAGTAATCAATCTGCTATTAAAAAAATTGAAATTTTTTTCACAAAGCAAGTCATATTATTACATTTGATTACTTTTAAATATTTAATGTTTAAGTATTTTGTTTTAAGAAGATTGCAGACTTACCTAGAATATGTTTTTAATACTTCCTACAATATGCAATACTTCATTTTTCATCTACTTATTTACTTGTCATTATTTTCAGTATTACCATGCTCATGTCATAATTCTTTGTGACTTACCCAAATTATTTGTCTTCTGATCTGATACTTATTTTCTGACCATAGTTTTACTCTTTCAAAATGACTACAACTCAGGTATAGGCAGCAGTACTCTATGAATGAATCTCTTAATACCACTGTAAGTTGTCTATAAAGCAGTTTACCAGTTTAAGCAGTGCTCTCACTTATGTTATCTAATATGACTCATAACTACCCTGTGAGGTGGGTTATCTCAGTGTCCTTATTTCGCAGATGAAGAAGCAAATTCCCTTAGGTCATTGTCGCACAGCCCATGAGTGGTGGAGAAGGACCAAACCTAGATAGACTGGTTGATGCCTTATCCCTTTTTTCGAGTCAGAGTTTCACTCTGTCGCCCATGCTAGAGTGCAGTGGCATGCTCACGGCCACTGTAACCTCAACCTGCTGGCCTCAGGTGATCCTTCCACCTCAACCTTCCAAGTAGCTGGAACTACAGGCATGCACCACCACGCCCAGCTACTTTTTGATTTATTGTAGAGATGAGGTCTAGCCAAGTTGCCCAGTCTGGGCTCAAACCCCTGGACTCAGGCAATCTCTCACCTCCTCCTCCCAAAGAACTGGGATTACAGGTGTGAACCACCACGCCCAGCAGGTTTCTCTATCTTTAACTGAAAACTTCATTATCAGAAAAGGAACAGGTTCTGGCTAGCCCCTGAATTTAGAAAATGTACCGTATGATTTTTCTCTGGAAGATTAGAACCACAAAAACCAGAGAAATGTCATTTGCATGATGTGTCTGTATTTTATAGACCCTGTCCTGGGTAAATACCAAGAGGGTAGAAGTAGAAGGAAGCTTGTGGAACTTGACTGTTTTTGCATTTTTAAGAATTACATCAGTGTGTCAAGCTACTTGAAACATCTAAGGAAATAGATAATCTGTTTTCCTAACTAACGGATGCACGTGTATGCTCTCACATTCACCCAAAACTCACCTCTCAATATGAACTTTTCATATTGAGGTACTGTATACCCAGTTTTCTTTCTGGAATAGACTCTCCCTGCATTCCCCTTTTGCGTATAGCACCCCCTCTGTCTGATTTTTAACACTCTGGGTACCTGCCCTGGCTGCGTGGGTACCTACCTGGGCTGCGTTGCGCCAACAGAGAAGCACTGGCTGCCCGTCCCCCGTCCCCGGCTTAATCCCACAGTCACATTCTTGTGATGGAGCTCGGCGGCCCAGCACGAGAGCATGGAAACAGCTGACTGCTGACTCAGAGGGAAAGCAAGCCACCCACGAATCTCATTGCAGCTCGCTGCTGCATCCCTATCCCATAATCCCTTGCCTGGTTTGCTGCAGTCTTTTCAACAGACGCTCAGTGAGAAAAAGATGTCCTGCAAGATCAAGATTGATTGGTTTGCATACGAAAGGGGGTCTTCCACTTGTTAATGACCCAGAAACATTCCTGCCGACTTTCCAGCCTTCTCGCCTCTCCTCCATTTTTCTCTTCCTCTGTTCTGTGCGTGAACTGGCACATCTTAGAGCAGAAGATATGCTGGGCTTCTGATGATGGCTGCACTGCATGGTAGGGGATTTTAACCAGTCTGCTTGCATGGTGCTTGTCAACTCGAGGTGTTAGCTGACATGTGCATTGTTCTTTTGGAGTGCCGCGTAGCTGCAGCGACAGATTTGGGAGGATTTCATTCTCTGCCTCGTTGTTTAGTCTGTTCGTCTTCAGAAATGGGTAGGTGCTAAATGTACAGGTTGCTTAGTGTTATGCCAGGTGGATAACTGATTTCTCCTACTCTCTCTGTTCTGGCTTTCCCCCTCTCTAGTCTCTCATGGTGATGCTGCATGGTCTGGAGCTATAAAATAGAGGGAGACCCACTCTGCTTAAACAAAGGCACCACATGAACAAGTATGGGGAGAAAGTCACGCAAGATTTTCTTATCAAGTTCTAACTAGATTTTAATTTTTATTGGTCTTTATTTGAATACGCATCTTGGCTTGTTTTACATAGAATTTTCTCCCCCTGCATCTCTCTGTTGGGTGCAAATATGCAATTAAATATTACATTTGCAGGATTCCTTCCCCTCCGCCCCAGGGTGGAGGAGGACGTGCAATGTGACCCTCCCCCAATCTTGTCTTCTGTTAGAGAACCCTGGGGTTGAGGTCCATGGCTCCAGTTACCATTGGAAACCCATTCATTGAGAATGCATGCCTCACCCTCTGAATCTGAATGCCACTAAGGGCCAGCATGTCTGCATATGTAGCAAATGATTTTTTTTTTCCTGACATTTCTTCCTGCCTTTAAAGTACAGTCAAATCTGGGTGGAGCTCAATGACAGTATTACACTGGGGGAAAAAAAAAAAAATCCTTAGCTTGGCCCCTAGGCTTGCTTCCTGAAAGAGTGGGGGTTATTTTTGTGTGAGAGCTTTTTCTACAAGTATGCCCCACCCTGTCTTTATTCTTTATTTTCAGGGGAAGAGGAGAGCAAGTAGGAAGGATATTTATTTTAAGCTAAAATTGCGATATTAATAAATGGATTTCTGAGCCAAACGATAAAATGCTATTTTTGTCTTAAAAAAAGATGGTTTTAATGTCATAGCTTCCAGGAACAGGTCTGGATTCAGAATGAGGCATATAAAAAATGATCACTTCACTTCTTTGACTTAGATTGTGTTATAGCAGTTTTATTCCTCATGAAAAAATTGCTGAATGTTTTTTAAAAAAAAAAACCTACAATGTGTGAGGAGAGCCGTTTGTTCCTAGATTTTTAAAAATGTTTTCTGAAGTATTAGATTCAGTTCTGCCCGCTGTGAACCTGTTTTCTAATGCCTTTTCATTATTTCTGGCAAAGGCTTTAGCGCCAGGGATCCCAACCCACTGTCTTGTTAAATAATGCACACCCCTCCCAGCGAGCACACAATGAGAAGTTTCATGTGTGCTTTGGTATGAGAAAGCTGCTTTCTGTGGCAGAGACACCAGGAGTGGCCCTTGCTAAACCTTTCAGTATTTCCAGTTTTCTCCTAGGAAGACGCAAGCGATTTGCATTGGAAAGGCTAAAATGCAGCTGTTTGTAAAAACATTCTCTGATAGAGTATGCTGTTTCAAGATATATGAACCCGCATTGTAAAATGGCTAACCCACACATCTATAAAAAGGAGAATAACATCTATACACATTTTTTACTATAGTATTAAATATTGTAATCCTGAGATTACTTAATTTTTTTAAAAAATCATTAGATAAAAGCTTAATGGATTTTGTTGAGATAAAGTAAAAACACATTCTTTGACTTAATAAGAAATGAAAATGTCCTTGATTTGAATATCTCTGGATATTAATTTCTCCAAACTTAGGAGTTTCTTTTCTTTATCTTTATTAAGTAGAAAAAAATCCCAGATATGTAGCCATTTTAAAGATTTATGTCTCTCTTCATTATCTCAGATAAAAATAAGACTTTCACCAAATATTTGTATGTCTGACTGAAATGTACTTTCAAACTTAAAAAAAATCTGCTACCAAGTTATTTACTATTGTAGTTTTTTCTTCAAAAAAGTGACCAAATTACTTCTAATTGTGGCGAAATGACAATGTGCACACCTACAATTGCTTTTTCTTTCATCTCTGATGTCGTCTGTGTCCCTTTATTACTTCTCTAAAGGTTTTAGTTCAGAATAGAATTTGCTCCATATGGGTTTGGCTATTAGGGTTTTAAAAAATATTTATATTGTGCAAGTTGTCAGAATTGAATGGATCAGGTTTCTTCCTAGAATTTGGAGCTGCAGATTGGACCAGAAAGTGAAAAAAAAATGAGCTAAGTATTCAAATTGCATTTTTTTTTTTTTTTTGAGTTGGAGTCTCACTTGGTCGCCCAGACTGGAGTACAGTGGCTGCTCCCGGCCACCACAGCCTCGCCTGCTGGGCTCTGGCGATCCTTCCGCCTCAGCCTTCCCAGTAGCCGGAATTACAGTCAAGCGCTACCACGCCCGGCTGATTTTTTGATTTATTGTAGAGATGAGGTCTCGCTGCCCAGGTGGGTCTTGAACCCCCGGGTTCAGGCAATCCACTCCCCTCAGCCTCCCAAAGGCGCAGGATTACAGGCTGAGCCACCGATCCCGGCTTCAAATTGCATTTTTGAGGGGAAGGTATATTGCAGCTTTTTGTATACTAATCTTTCTGTTCCCTTCAGCTTCACCCCTTCTGCCTTCATATTCTTTTTTTTTTTTTTTTTTTTGAGTTGGAGTCTCACTCTGTCGCCCAGACTGGAGTGCAGGGGCTGCTCCCGGCCGCTGCAGCCTCGACCTGCTGGGCTCTGGCGATCCTTCCGCCTCAGCCTTCCAAGTAGCTGGAACTACAGGTGTGCGCTACCACACCCAGCTAATTTTTGATTTATTGTAGAGATTACACATATTTACATTATTAATACCTTTAAAAATACTTTTAATGACTTGGCAGGAAATCAAGTTGTGTATATTTGTCAGTTTTCTCTTTTTTTTTTTTTAGAGTTGGAGTCTCACTCTGTTGCCCAGGCTAGAGTGTGGTGGCACACTCACAGTCACATCAGCCTCAACCTGCTGTACTCAGGCAATCCTTCCACCTCAACCTTCCAAGTAGCTGGAACTACAGGCATGCACCACCACGCCCAGCTACTTTTTGATTTATTGTAGAGATGAGGTCTAGCCAAGTTGCCCAGTCTGGGCTCAAACCCCTGGACTCAGGCAATCTCTCACCTCCTCCTCCCAAAGAACTGGGATTACAGGTGTGAACCACCACGCCCAGCAGGTTTCTCTATCTTTAACTGAAAACTTCATTATCAGAAAAGGAACAGGTTCTGGCTAGCCCCTGAATTTAGAAAATGTACCGTATGATTTTTCTCTGGAAGATTAGAACCACAAAAACCAGAGAAATGTCATTTGCATGATGTGTCTGTATTTTATAGACCCTGTCCTGGGTAAATACCAAGAGGGTAGAAGTAGAAGGAAGCTTGTGGAACTTGACTGTTTTTGCATTTTTAAGAATTACATCAGTGTGTAAGCTACTTGAAACATCTAAGGAAATAGATAATCTGTTTTCCTA